CCAAACTATTTTATCTAAAATAGTATGCTAAGATTCATTGCCCCCTACATTCCCCCCTCTATGACATATTTTTCTTTCTAAGAAATACAAAGTGTGTCATACGATGGCAGCCTGGGCTCCAAAATGGGGGTTTGTCATCTTACATATAGGAACAATGAACACCACAGCTTGTTGGGCACAAGGAAGGTGCAGGGAAGCAAGTATGGCCTGGCTAGGTCCAGTAGAGTCCATCCAATGGCGCTTGAGGGTGTAGTTGTAGAGATGTTCTCTTTGTACACAAGCATGTTAATAGAATCAGTCCATTGTAGAATCCACGACAAGTCTATTGGCAGCAGGCTTTACCATGGGTTTGAAGATCTCTCCTTTTTATGGCACCCATGTTCCAGGATGGCAACTACAATGGTGGTTGATGACCTGTCAATACACAAACATACCCTCGTTCCATGTTATTAATTGAACTGGAACACCTTGTTATTATTATTATTATTATCATTTATCATTTATCTAATAGCTTGTAGTTATATTTTTCTGTTGGTTGCTCAAGACCAAGTTAAAGTGAGACCTGTATAATTAAAATTAATTTTTTTTCCTATCAAGGTCAATTAACTCTCCTCAGGATTTACCTTGAAACCATGTGCAGTGTCTCTTAGTACTTTTGTCAGTGCCAGCCATCTGGATGAGTCACAGCCATTGCTTGACCAAGTTGCTTTCTTTGAAAGCTTGGGAGACTGTTTTCTCCTGGTGACTCTCCTTAGGCACGTTACACTGTATAATCATTTTTCTCTGTGGTCCCATAATCTCCTTGATCAGAAAATCAGGGACCCAACCGAGTTGTGTGATGTGGCAGCGAGGTTTTCTTATGTCTTGAGTCCTATTTGACCTTGGAGGGCTTTGGCCAAAATATTGGTGTCCTCTTAGCCCAATTTATCTCTCTAATTTTTGGTCTCCAAACCTCAGTTGTTAAACATCCAGCAGAAAAGGTTAATGACATTACATTGCAAGCACCTTAAAAAATAAAGTACAACCAGAGAACTATTACTTCTTACCAATCATGGATGTGCTAGTAGTTGAATCTCTGTGGAATGTTAACAGACAACAATTACACAGTTTTACAAAGAAAACTGGAAGTCAAAAATTATACATAGTATCGTTAGATAATAAGCGTGATGACATTTTTGTAGCACAATAGAATAGCCCTTTTAGTCATCATCCTTACCTAGTACATAAGGAGCTTTTATCTAAATTGTCCTCAAACAGGATGTCATTTAAGAAATTTGTAACATTGTCTGGGCTGTTTAATATCTAAGCATCTCTAAATGTAGTGGCATATGCATAGTATATACACCACATAAGGTTTTGTTAAAAAATTATTCAAATGATGACCCATGAACCTCTTATAAATACCTGGAGCACAAGAGAAAAGGCAGATGTCCAACATTATATAAACAGTTTCAGTTTTACATTTTAGCGTACCGTACATTTTGAAGGCACAAATACATTTAATACACCATGAAATTAGCAATAAAAAGTTGTCACTATTTTTTTTAAATTTAGTTTGGTACCAGTAGCATCTTTTAATCAGAAAACCTTATTGTCTTATTTTTTCTTAACCTCCTGTCAATGACCAATATAAACATATCACAATAATATATTTTGAACAGTATATATCACTGTGTCTCCCATAAGGATATGGAGATTATCAGGGCTCCTTATTAATGAATAAAAACTGGTTAATGTCAGCTGCTTTTTTATTCATCAGTTGGAGTCCTATCCAACAATCTCCACCCAAGGGATTTTTATTTAGTTATCTTAACCCATTTTTTAATATTTTATGAACATCCAATCAGAATTTGACATGTCAGTTTTTGTACAATGAGCGACTCAAATCATAATACATAAAACAATATTTATACATTTATAAAACCAATTTTAACATAATTTTGACCAGCCGGCAATGTGGTAGAAGCAAATCCTTAATTTAGATGATATTAACATATAAGCCAAATTAGATTACAGACAATTGCCTTAAAAATCAAAAAAATACAAAAAGAGAAATTTGTTGAGCTCAAGTAAAACAGCTGTTTACAGATCTGACAGAGAGACAAACAAACAAAACACATACACAAGACAATTTACTTACAGACTTAAGAGTGCACTCAAATATAGTTTTGGCCATACTGAATTATAAGTTCATAATTATAAGTAGTCAGAACTTTATTTTCTCCTTTTTTTTGGTTAGGTCCATTAGCAGAGATCGCTTATAAAAAGAATTTGGAAAAATAAAACCCTTTTACTTGTAATTAATATATTTTTATATTTTATTCTGTCTTCTGAATACCAGCAACTTTTATGTTCCTTAATGTAGGTTTCAGCTTAGTCACGTGCACACACACATTGTCTCCTACTCAGACTCTCTCCTGTAAGACTTACTATAATTTAGGTTAATATTATCATTTATGTAGACTTTTTTTTTCTCCCTTTTTAAAGATCCAGACATCCATGGCACATACAAAAACCTGTATCTTATCTCGACAATCTCCATTGACCACACTTGGTGTAATAGTTATTTTTTTAAATTTATGTCAGCATTTTCTAGTACAAGACAAAAGGTTTCCTCTGTGGGAATTGGGGTAGATTTTTCATCCCCCACCCTACAAAAGTGACTGTAAGCCACAGGCAGATCTAATACTGTATTTTGCAATTCAACAGGCATATAAACAAAAAATCATTACAGTTTGAACACATACCTGAGCTTTTTTCTTAGAGACTCGATATCCCTTGTCCTGTAGTAGTTCCAACAGCCTCTTAGCTTTTGAAGAAGGTCTCGGCCCAGCAGAGGGAAAGGACAGTCTGGCATCAATAAAAACGAGTGACTCACTACATGTTTTCCTAATTGTACCTGTCGTGGTTCACAGAAAGAGTATGAGGAAGACTGACCAGTTGCTCCCTGAACTTGTACAGTTTGGTCCAGGAGGGGGGGAAACTGGCTGAGTCACCACAGACAGCTCAGCTCCTGTGTCAACTAGAAAATTTACAGGCTTTCCCTCAATTTTTGCTGTTAGCATGGGCTCCCCGGGGCCTAGAAACAGGGACCTCTGCCCCCGTCAATCTGACCCATCCACCGCATCCACCACAAACACATCCTTTTTCTCTCTTCTGTCTTTACCAAGCAGTACTGGACACTCTTTTAAAATGACCCTTTTCTTTACAATAGGCACACTGATCTGGATCCAGGCGGGGGCGGTGGCCTCCCCTTTTGGATCCAGCTTTACCTCCCTTGTCATTATGTCCAATCTGCACCTCCTTCTTACATGTAGCTGACATTACCTTCCTCTTTTCCTGTCTGTACTTTCATTCTGCATCCTCTCTATTGCGAAACACTTTCTGGGCAATTTCCATTAGTTCTGTCAAACTTTCCTGCAAATCCTTCCAATCTTTGTAACTTTCGGCATATATCAGGGGCCGACTGAGCTGCAAAGGCTAAATTGAGAGTACGGGCATGCTCAGGTGCCTCTGGATCAAACAGGGTGTACATACGGTAGGCCTCCATGAGATGCTCGAGAAATGCTGCAGGACTCTCATTCGGCCCCTGGTAGACCTCTGCTACCTTATGTAAGTTAGTAAGGTGGCGTGCAGCAGCCAGAAGCCCCTTTCTCAGGGCCTGGTGATGGTCCCTGAGTGCTTTCATTCCCTCCTCAGTATTATAATCCCAATTAGGTTCCTCCTTAGGTAAGACTTGGGCCACTGCTGCGTCCCTGTCCTGTGCTGTTCCTCCTGTCTCTAACCTCACTTGTTCCTCTGCTGACCTCTGAATTCTGTTTCTCTCCTCAGAGGTGAACAGGGTCATAAGAATCTGCTGGCAGTCGTCCCAAGTGGGGCGGTGTGTCCTAAATACTGATTCTAAGAGCGTAATTAATGCCTGTGGCTGTTCCGTGAAGGAGGGATTCTGTTTTTTCCAGTTATACGAATCACTTGTAGAAAAGGGGACGTACACCAAGGTGGATCGGAGGTTTCCCCCTTGTCCCACCACTGCTGTCTGTCTAAGTGGCAAAAACTGCAGCCGTACCCGAAGAGGAAACTTCATCCTCCTCTCCATCCCCTATAGGTGCAGGGGAGGGCTGTAGGCGCCTTCGGGCTGCACAAATGAGGTCGGCATGCCGGCGCCCACCGCTCGGCTGCGATCCTGAAATAGGTTCCTCTTTGGGTGGTGCCGCTCCCCGGTCAGGATAGGGCGGCGGCCCTGTGACACTCGGGACAAGAGACTTGCTTTCCTCTGGTGCTGATGGCAACACAGGGGGCCTGGGACCCGAGGATTTTTCTTTTATAATCAACACACGATCAGGGGCCCCACAGGCGCACATCCTGAGCCACTGTGGCAGCGTTCGAACCACAGTCAGCCAGGAGTCAATGTAGGGAAACTGATCTGGGTAACCTGGCTTTCCAGCCACTATGTCCCAGACTCTGCTTGCTACGTGAGCACCTATAGTTCCCTCAGCTGGCCAGCCCACCCCAAACGAAGGCCACTTCCGCTTATATAGCGTGCTAAGCACTCCATAGTCGCCCTTATACTTCTGAAAATTCTGAAGCACGCATTTCAATACGGTTGGTTTGCTGTCGGAATTTCCCATAGCAGAAATCCCAAAAGCGGTTTCGTTCGATCCACACACCAAGCAGGATTACAAAGCTAACATAATGCAATGCTACCGTAGTAATTACTACAGCACGGAGCAGTTGCTCAGGATTGGCCTTCCTCCGAGCTTCCCAGTAAGCCACTGCCAGCTGCAGAAGAGGCAGCAGGAGGACAGCTAAAACTACCCCAGCCCATGCCACTGATTCCACCGTAATTTCAGAATGCAAGCGCATGGGAGAAAGCGGGTGCATCAGAATGAACAAAAAACAAACAGTACAAACAAACAAAGAAACACAAAATCCCGGGAAAGATAATTTAGTTAATATTCCTCCGACTTATTTTTGCCAATGCAGAGTTGGAGACTGGCTTGAAACACAACAAAACAAAAGCCGAATTCTTTCTCAGCACTCGCCAGAAAGACTAACATGCCCCTCGCTCAGCTCCCGCTGGGAGGGTGAAGGCTGCGCTGCACAGCGCACTGCCTCAGGTCCCTCTCCCGGCTCCCGGAGAGGACAGAAACCAAACAGCCACCCACTTCTGGGTGCTACAAGTTAGAGACCCACATCTCCGAAAATACAAGCCCAGTTTCCACAAAAAGCCAATTAAAATCTTACCTAGTCGGAGGTGTGGAACTCTGCTTTGTTCTTTGTGGCCAAGACCTGCAGTCCCTAGCCTCTCTCTGATGGAAGCTGAAATCAGCTGTGGCTCCAAGCCATTCAAGAAGGGCTAGAGGGTCCGGAGACCGGGGCCCTTCTCAAAGCGGGGGTCTGCCTGTGGAATTTCCCGAGCGAGCCTCCAAAATGTTACGGCAGAAATTCCCATTTGTCCCAAACATTCCACAAGAGACGCCAATCACCAGTGAGACCAAAATCAGAGTTTAATTTGAGGCTAGCCACCCTCACTTCCTTTGCCAATCTGGAAGCGGGGCCCATGGCTAACTTTGTTTCCCCTTATATACATTTTGGTTTCCATGGACAACAGATTGGGGTGTTACACTCTCTGACCCCAGTGGGCACATGGTCTTTCTCTCATCCTGTTGGACCCCAGGTCAGTTGCAGGTCGCATGTCAAACCGTGATAGATGTTTCCCCCCATTATCTCCTTTTTTACAACCTATGCATTCCTTTAGGGTTACAGTGTTTACCTAGGGCCAGGAGATGGCACTGCCCAGGCAGGGTCATGGAGGGTCACCTAGGCCTAGGTGCCCCCTTATCTTGGGGAGACATTCCTGGGCAGTGTTGATCTGGGGAATTAGCTCTTGCACTGTCCCGGGAGGCTTCCCGAGGCACCATGCAGGCTTTTACCAAACTATTTTATCTAAAATAGTATGCTAAGATTCATTCCCCCCTACACTAGCTGTGTGAAAGTACAGCACACACAATTATGTACAGATGTAATAATGAGAACAAACAACATTTATTCTGTTGAAGACATTTGCTATGCCAGCCTGACTGAAGAAAGATAGGATGAATTTTGTATTCATCCTATGGGGATTGCGCCCCCTCAAGATACACAAGCTGCTAAGTGCTCCAGGCAAAACACTCTTTATCCAGTCACAGGTGCACCCCATCCCTTTTTTCCATATCCTCAAACTTACCCCAAACTCTCACCCTCATTCTTCTCTTGGAAACCACAGATTTACGTATATTCTATTCTATACTTTTTATATCTTTTTTTTGAGACAGGGTCTCACTATGCAGTTCAGGCTGGCCTTGTGCTCACTTTGTAGTACAGGCTGGTCTCAAACACCCAACAATCCTCTAGCCTTAGCCTCCTGAGTGCTGGAATTACAGGTGTGGGCCACCACACCTGGCTTTATTTCATTTTAGAGTATACCTTTTGTACATTATTTTTAAAAAAGATGTCCCATAAAATGTGGTGCAGGCAGTAGCTTCGTGAGCTTGTGTCCCATGTCTCTGGATCTCACTAAGAAGCCACAGTGAGTGGTTGACCCACCCATTCAGGCTTGTGTGAAGTTCACTCAGTGATGCTCACATAGTGAGGAAACTGGCTAATGACAGTTCTCTTGTCCCTGTTGGTTAGTGACGCACAATGGTGCTCTGCAACCTATAAAACTGAGACTTATCTTAAAATAAAAAATAAAGCCTGGTGTGGTGGTGCACACCTGTAATCCAAAGCACTCGGGGGCTGAAGGAGGAAGATCTTTTCGAGGTCGAGACCAGCCTAGGCTACAAAGTGAACTGAAGGCCAGTCTGAACTGCATAGCCGGACCCTGTCTCAAAAGGGACAAAACAACCAACCAACCAAAAAAAACAAAACCTATAAAACAGTGTCCAAGGAAATTTAAGAAGATCTAAATAGATGAATAGAAAATTCATCCTATCTTCCTTCAGTCAGGCTGGCATAGCAAATGCCACATATTGGGTGGCTTCAACAGATTTGTTTCTCACCACTGTGGAGGTCAGGAGGCCTGAGAGGAAGGTGCCGACTGATGGAGTCTCTGGTGAGGGCCCCACTCCTGGTTTGCAGGACGCCTCTTGCTGTGTCTTCACAGTGCAGGGTGAGAGACCTTTCTACTGCTCCTGTCATAGGGGCACTAATCCCATTCAGCAAGCTCTACCCTTAGACCTAATCACTTCCCAGAGGCCCTGCTCCAAACACCGTCACATTAGGAAGTAGGGCTCAATAGATGCATTTTGGGAGGACAAAAACATTCAAATTCAAGTGGAATCTCAAGGGCCCCTAAGAGCCAAAATAATCTTGAAAAAGAACAAAGAGGGATCTTGGTGGGTGAATGAGGGCCATGAACTGAGAGCCTGTGTCCTGAGTCCTCTCACACTTACCCCAAAAGGAATGTATTACATGGTCGTGTTTGAGACACAGGATCCGCATAACCAAGTGTGTTACTGTCACAGGTTCTCTGAAAGTGGAGGTGCCAGGAAGGCCACTGACGGTACGCCTAAACGACAATGTCACCATCCCCTGCAAAGTCCATGACTTCCCAATGCTGGACCTCAGTTGTATGGGCATTAGGTGGTATTGGAAGGATCCGGCGTCTGAAGCAGAGGACACGGTGTTGGAGTTATATGGCGATAATGAAAAGGTTACCCGAACTGGGGCCAAAGTGTCTCTGGATTGGCCGAAGTCAGGTGACGCCTCATTGCATCTGCCTGGGGTCCAGGTGGGGGATGCAGGAATGTACCGGTGCCAGGTGGTGGTGCCCCCTCAGATGGAAGAAGGAGTGGCCTCTCTGGAAGTTACAGGTGAGCACCTGAGGGCAGTGCCCTGCTGTTGCCATGGTGCTGGGTCCTGGGGTGGGGATGCATTTGGGACACCCGTGGGGCAAAGGGGCAGAGGGTCAGTGTGTGGGTCTGTCGTAGACATGGGCTCCCATCCTGGGCTTCTGTAAACACTTGGACCACCTTGAGCAAGTCATTAGTCACTCTGAACTTCAGTGCTCTACCAGAGTGGGTTATAGGTAAGACTGTAGGAAAATACCGATGAAATGCTTAGCCCAGTGCTCCATCCTTGTAAGTGCCCAGTAAATGATAACATGAGCAATTGTTGTATAGTTCACCTCTTGTATGAGCAGCCAGTGTCACTAAAGAAGTGCCAGGTCACTGGGAAAGGAGCGAGGTGCTGGGGCCTGGCTGGACTGACCTAAATCCTATTCCAGCATTGCTACTTCTAATCGGTGACTGTGGCCATTTAATAGCTTTAAACCTGAATTTTCCTGTGCACAAAATGGGCTGATAACTCCTACCTGCCTCATCATATGATATGTGTACAACAAGGTATGGTGGCACATGTCTTTAAATCCGAGTGACCTGGGAGGGTCAAGGTGGAGAATAATCAAGTTTGAGAGTGGCCTGGGCAACTTAGTGAAATTCTCTTTCAGCATAAAGCAAAAAAGGATAACCAGTAAATACGGATGGAAAAAATACAGCAAAAACATTGCTGAGTGGTAGTAGCTCACTGGTAAGGGTGAAAATATCCAGCTGTTTGCCTATTGTAATGTGGGTAGGTTCTTGGTCAAGGCTTAAAACATCTCCCAAAAAGCCCTTAGAGCTTCTCTTTCCTCTTCTATAAAAGCATCTGATATGTGGGTGAGCTTCATGGTGTCTTAGTTTGTGGCTTAACCACAGATGTGTATTTTCTTACAATGCTGGATTCTAGAATTCTGAGGTCAGGATGTCAGAGGCGTTGATTTCAGTCAATCTTTCTGAAGGTGACGCTTCACTGCATCTGCCGGGGGTCCTGTACGTGCAGGAATGTACAGGTGCCAGGTGGTACTCCCTCCTTATGGAAGAAGGAATGGTCCTCTCTTCTTGGCCTTCTATCTGTTTTTCCTCAGGGTTTTTTTTTTTCCTGTATCTGTCTGTGTTTTCTAAATCTCTTTTCTTGAGAGGAGGCCAGTTACAATAGGTAGGACCCACCCTGACAATCTCATTTTAATGTAACTATCTCTTTAAGAATTTATCTTAAAATCTTCACATTCAGTGATACCAGGAACTCTGGAAAGGATATGAATTTTAGGGAGACTCAGTTCATAACAGAAGGGCAGCATTTTGAAATCCCCTTAATTGTATGTAGAACTTTGATCACTTTGTACATGGTAATAATAGAAGTGCAGAAGTATAGTAGTTAGAAAAATTCATTGATTCTGCAATTTACAGAAAGCCTGAAAGAACTGTGGCTGTCAAAATAGAAATGAATAGACTTACAAGATAGGCTAGTGGGTTCTCATATTATTCCTACCACTGTGCAGTATTTATCCTGTCATTAACAGCTTGCCTTAGTGCAGTTGATTTAATTAATACACCAGTATTGATGAGTTACTGTTCATCAAAGTCCATAAGTTACTCAGGTTTCCTTGGTTTTATTTAATATCCTTTTTCTGTTCCAAGATCCCATCTAGAACATCATATGCTTTTAATTTGCGTGTCTCCTTAGTCTTTTTTTGGCTGTGACAGTTTCTAGACTTCTCTTGATTTTGATGTCCTTGACAATTTTGAGGAGTAGTGGTCAAGGTTTTGTAGGATGCCACTCTCTTGGAATTTATTTGCTGCTCTTATAATGTGAGTGAGGTTTTAATTTTTTAGGATGATCACAGAGGTAAAGGGAGTGTGTAACACATGTCAAATCTCCTAATTTATGACTCTCAATGTTATCCTTGATTGCCTCTGTGCAGTAGTATTTGTCTGGCTCTTTCACTGTTAAATTACTCCTCCTCCCCGCTTCTGCACTCTGGTCTTTGAGAGGAAGGAAGTCACCATGTGTGGCCCTCACTTAAGGAGTCACACTCCTTTCCCATTGGGATGGAGTAGCTCTGTGATTTATTTGGAATTCTTCATTAGAGAGGTTTTTTTTTTGTTTTTTGGCATTCATTTATTTACTCAGTGATTTAATTGTGCTTGTATTTAGGTCTCTGATCCAAATGAATTAATTTTTGTAAAAACTGTAAGATGTTGTAAATTCCATGTGATTTGTTGCATATGGATTCATAATGGTGTTCCAGCACCATTCCATGTAAAGACTGTACCTTCTCCTCAAATTACCCTTCTTCCTTTGTCAGAGATGAATTGGCTATATTTATGTCCATCTATTGCTAGCTTGCCATTCTGTCCTATTGATTTATTTTTCTGTGCTTTTATCAGAACCACACTCTTTATTTGAGCACAGTTGCTGGGAGATGCTTTAGCCACTTGTATTATATTTGGAAGACTTGCCCCAAGTTCATATGGCTACACCCCTCTGCAGTAGGGATGGAGTGAGCGTTTAACCTGGATGTGTCATGTCCAGCTAAGAATGCTCGGGAGTAGACATCTGCAACAACACAAGGCTTCCTGAACATTCTGAATAGTGTCTGGCACAGAAGAGTTGAAGAAACTCTACTTTCTAAAATGACCATGAGAGTCGAGGTCCCAGCATGGCAACATCCCACTGGTAGTGCGAACCACCTACTTAGACTCCCTGATTTAGGCAGAGGGCTGTTCAGGTCACACAGCGCTCCTGAAGTCACCCTGGATCAAGCCTGGGGCTGGGAATCAGCTAGTTTCTACCCATTCTACAGGAATTTCCAGTGGGCTCTGGCCACTCAGCCGGTCTTCAGCTCATTGCTGGGTGTGGTTTTACTATCACCTGTGTCTCCAAATTTCCATCTTTGAAAGATCAGACACCTATGTTTTCTGTCTTGCCTGGGTACAGCGGAAATGAGGCTGATGTGTAGGTTTGGCAGAAGCCAGTTACCATGAGGCAAGGGAGAAAAGGGTGCCAGTTTTGGGCCCAACTCTATGTCTTTTCATCCCTGGCAGCTGAGCCGGCCAGCACGGTGTTTCTGGAGCAAAGCATGGAGAGAAGTAACGAAATTGATGGCAGTTATCTTGTGTGTCATGCCAGTGGGTTCTACCCAGAAGCCATTAACATAACATGGCAGAAGTGGACCCAGAATGTTTCGCAGTACCAAAGGATTTCCACAGACATCTGGAATGATCCCATCATCAAGAATGAGGGTGGCACATTTAACATCACCAGCTACTTGAAAATCAGTCCCTCTCTGGAAGACAGTGTGACCATCTACCAGTGTGTGGTGTGGCACTGCTCCTTGAACACCTCCCAGAGGCTGAACTTCACACTGCCTGTGAGAGGTAAGTGTCGTCTTGCCCCTTCCCTCACTCCTTACATCTAGGATGTATCACATGACTCTGGTTCCTGGGCAGTCTAGGGTCTTTGCTAGTGTTTGATGGGGAAAAGAATAAGCTGTGCTAAGGGTGGGTACAAGCTGGGGTCTGGCTCAGCTCAGGCCCAGAGGCAACAGTCTGAGTTCAGTGTAGCATTGTACCACGAATCACTCACACACTCTGGATTCAGTGCACAGGCAAAAGGTGTGGAAGGTGGAAAGGGTTGACAATAGTCATGAGGTGGAAACAGGGCTACAGGTCAGCTCATGGCAGTCCTCCTGCCTCAATTTGTTACCATCTCTGAATATTCATAACGTCGGGTCCGTTTGTATCTCTGAAAGTTCACAACTCAAATGTTCATAAGTTGGGGCTTCCTGTACTCAGATGTGGGAGATGTGGTGATGCTGAGACCTGTGCCTTGGGGTTGGTGGTTGAATTTCTTGAGAGGAAAACGACACAAAGCTCAGTGGTGTTAGCAGCCGTTGTTTGTGTGGGGTCTCTTAGGCTCTTGCCGGTGGTTTCTCCTTACTCTTCTTCTGTTTTGCTTTTTTTTTCCTGCAGAAACTAAAGAGAGAGATCTCATCTGGATCCTTGTTTCTATTGTTGGACTGATTTTAATAGTGGTTATTTCCGTTTGTATTTGGAGAAGGTAAGGAGCTCTGTCTTAGTTACTGTTCTTGTCGCTGAGACAAAAAACTGACACCTGAAGTTAAACAGGGAAAGGTTTAATTACCTCAGACTCTGTTGAGGTTTCAGTCCATAATCAGCTGGCTCCAAGGAAGGTGGCTTAGCAGAAGCAACAAGAGACCTTTGCAGCTCTTTTTTTTTTTTTTCCTCCTATATACTCTGTCGAGGCTACTGCGATTAGGGCAGTGCCAAACCAATCAGTGGACTGATTTAGCAATCACACACCCTTAATCCCAGCATTGTACCATGAATCACTCACACACTCTAGATCCAGCCACCTCTGGACAAACCCCACTGATGAATGCATGTGACTTTGAGGGCACATCTAGACACAAGTCACAACAGGCTCTGAAAGAAAGTGTAGTCCTTCGTTTTGGACTTGGCTCCAAGACCTCAGGATCTTGGTCAGTGTGTGGGGTCAGAGAGTCCTAAGGGTTGGTGCTGGCGTGTTGTAAGTGTTGTGTGTTGTTCTCTCCGATGTTGTGTTGGGGATGAACTTTGCTGTGGGGTCACCACGTGTTGGTTTCTGACTCTGGGCAGATGCACTGTGGAGCTTCCTTTGTCTCCAGCAATGCAGATGTCCCTGTGGACTGAACCTGCCCATGGGAGCTCGGGCCAGGGCCATGGACTATGTGCAGGTTGCATTGTTCTCAGGCACACAGAGCCCACAGCTGAGAGAAGGGAATCCCCTCCCCTGGTTGCTTTGGTGGGATAGCTCACCACCAGCTTTCCCTGGCTTGGCGAAGACTGTCTTCACCTTCAGTTTATGTTTCTGCACAGAATCCTTATTGTGGCCCAAATAGCAAGTGACCCAGCATTCGCTTTGCAGACCCAAGAGACTAGGGTGAATGTGCTTGTTAAAGTGGTTCTATTTTTTTTTTCCTGCTTTCAGTTCTGGGGCTCCAATCCAGGACCTCAAGCATGCTGGGCAAGCCCCCTGCTGCTGCGCTATAGTGCCACTGCCTAAAATAGTTCTAGATGATGATACAGTTCTTCTCAGTCATTTATGGGCCTGCCTAGGTGAGATCTGTGCAAGGGCCAACACTTCTCATTGTAAATGAAAAATGAGAAACTGAGTTTGTCAAGGAAGAAAGTCAAGGAGTGTCAAGGAGTGCTCTTCTCACATACATGAAGTGATTTGTGGAACTTGTTCTCCTGGTTGGAGCTAAGCCAATGAGAAAACCGGGTGTAAAGTGGTGTTCACATGCTTCTTGTGATACTCGTGATTGTTTTCATATTTTTGTCCTTTCTCTGATTCTCATATGCAGGTGCAGGTCTTGTAAACACCCAGCAGTGACACTGAAGAAGGAACCACAGCCAAATCAAGTGTGGCAATTTACAGAGATAACTCTAATCTTTCACTCCTAGTTTGCCCAGATGACTCCAGTCCGTCACACACGTCTATGTCCTTACCTGTTGCGGCATAGCTTTACAGTGCCCTCCAGCACACTCCCTGGTCATTGGGCTCAAACATGTGCCTTGCTTTAGTCAACACAAGAAAGTGACTACAGGCCAGTTCTCAGTGTGGCCCTAGAGGGGCCTTTTTGTGTCTTCCTTTGCTGTCTTTGGTGCCTCTGACGCAAGAAGGATGAATCCAGGGTGACCTGCTGGAGGATGAGCCATACAGGAAGCCGAGTCCCGTCATCCTAGGTGAAGTGACAGCATTCATCTCCACTCAGGCTGATCTACCTCTGGTCAGCAGTGCTGACAGAGCCAACTCTAAGGACAAGAGAAATTTTTAAAAATTTATTTTAAAGTGAAAAAAAAATTTTCAACATCAGGTATTAGAATAACAGTGGTTAATACACTGCATGTTGTCACCTTCAAAGTAGTTACTCAGCATACAAGATATCAGCATTAAATTGTTCAAACAGTATTAGCACAAACTTTTCTTTTCAATGAACTAAGAAATTAGTAGTGTAGCTATCTTAACTCTCTTATATATACATTTTTTTTGCTTTTCCCTTCTTCTTTCCTCCATTGTAGTTTCTCTTTCCTTTTGAACAGTTTCTTCCCATTTTACAGTATGTATTGTACATTTTGGATGTTGTTTACTCAGTCAGCTTCTCACACTAAGGGGAGAATGATTTTTGCACATGTTTGTCTGGTTTGTTTCACTTATGAGTGTGGTCTCAAGTTACATCCATTTACCTATGAAAGTCTCCAGTGTATCCTTCTTTAAGGCTCAATAGTAGTCTGTCATATAAAAAGATCATATCTTTTCTATCCATTCCTCAGTTAATGGGCATTTGGGTTGTTTCCAAGATGTACCTATTACAAATTGTGCTACTGTAAACATAGGTGCATATATATCACTGTGGTATGATGTTTTTAATTCTTCTAGGAAAATACCCAGCAGGGGAATATGTGGCTCAGATGGGAAATCCAATCCTAGTTTTTTGAGGAATCTCCACACTGATTCTCACAGTGGTTGTACCAGTCTCCACTCCCTCCAACAGTGGAGAAGGGTTCTTTTTTCTCCAGAGCCCTCTAGGATTTGTTATTGGTTGATTTCTTGATAATAGCCATTCTTTCTGGAGTGAGATGGAATCTCAGTGTTGTTTTAATTTACATCTATCAAATTGGTAGGGCAAGAAAAACTCCATTTTTCTGGTTTTAACTTCATAGTAAGAGAGGTCACTTAAAGTTCACTTAAGCTGTAGTTGACCCCCCACACACACCAGTACCCTTACCAACTTGCTTAAAAGCAGAGCAAAGCCATAAATTGGGAACAGAACAAACAGAAAACTGGGAAGTAAATGAAAGGCTAACCCACGATTGTCCTTGGAATTTGGTTGTCCTCCTGGGAGAAAAGTAAACTTTGTGCTAATTATATGACCTGAAAATGAAGTAATGGTTACTATGGAAACCTGAAATGTACTAAGACCAAAGGTGAGACCCAGAGCAGCATGGACATCTTTGACTTCAGTTTAGAGATGGTCCGTCAGCTGGCTCCAATAAAGCTTTGTTTGTTCGTGATTTTTTTGGTTTTCTTGTGGGTGTCTTTCTCGATGTACTCACTTGCCATATCAAAATGACCAGTGATGTTGAACTCTTTTTTCATACATTTATTTGCTGTTTGTATTTCTTCATCTGAGAAGTGTATATTCATCTCAGATGCCCATTTTTGGATTGGGTCTTCAAATTTGGGAGGTCTGATATTTTTGAGTTCTTTATATGTTCTTTTTTTATTTTAAAGAGTCAAAGAAGGATAACATAATAATAGGAGGGGCTTACCAAATTACAGACAAAGTGATAGGAAATTATCAGTGGTTATTGTTTTATATATTGTTATCTATAAGATAGTTTCTCAGGAAAACAAATAGACAAATGATAGTGAGTTACAGACAAAAGAGGTAGGAGATTATCAGTAGTTGTTGTACTATACTTAGGTATCTTCAAAGTGACTTCTAAAGAATATAAATAGAACTATACATGAGTGACCTACTGAATAATCATTCAATAATTCTCAATGGTTGTTGTAGGAAACACATAATAGTAAACATGGATCCATTTATGAAATAGGATAGGAACAATACAAACATTACAGAGTTATGGATAGATTAGTAGGAAAATATCAATGACTGCTGTAATACATGGTGGTATCTTCAAAGTGGTTCCTCAGGAAGACAGAGATACACAAGAAGGATCTAACAAGTAGTTACAGCCTAAGGGTTGTCAAAAATCAAGTGAGTTGTCTGGGGTGAAAGCCATTTTTTGTAGCGTTTTCTCTCCAGCCTCCCATCGCACTGGGACCCCGCAACCAGTTAGTGTCCTCTCCCCAACTGTCAGCACAAGCAGCAGGAATCCTGCTGCAGACTTCTCCAGAGCTCCACCACAGCCTGTACTGTCAGGGGAAGAATGGCTTCCAGTGACTCTCTGCAGGTATTGTGCAAGGTCCTCCTGGTTTACAGCTTCTGAGCGGCTCTCGTGACCCCAGTCCACTGAACCTCTGACTCCATGGGCTTAGTCTGCATTCTCATGTTCTCTGAGTCCTTGTTCAGCAGCTGCTCCTCCGCTGGCTCTGGACCTTTCTGGTTCTCAATGGCAGGAGCAAAAGTGTCCCGTTGTATAGCATGTATTCCCAGGGGTTGTTCAAATTTGAATGATTCACAGACATCCGTGGGTGGGCAACTGCAGTCGGTGCATGGTGGGCCAATTGTGTCAGTGTTTCTCTGTGTCATGATAGATCTCAATTGAGCGGCGGCGGCCGGCCTAAGGGCCAGCGCACAACAGCGCTTGCCGCTGCATGGCTCCCCATGCACTGGGGGCCCTCCCTCCAGGGACCTACGAGGCAGGAAGCTAGCCAGCCGGAAGACCGGCGCTCCCTGCCCAAGGCTCCCTGTCTTTATATGTTCTTAATAGTAATCCTTTGTCTGAGGAAGAGGTGGCAAACATTTTTTTTCCCACATTGTGGATTGTCTCTTCACTCTGTTGGTGGTTTCTCTTGCTGTGCAAAGTTTTTAAGAAGATGAAATCCAAGTTGATTGTTTGTGATAGTTTCTATTTGATCAGAGTTTTATTAATAAAGTCTTTTGCCTGTACCAATGCCTTCAAGAATTTCGCTTTTTCTATCTTCCAGCAGATTTAATATTCCTGTTTTAATATTTAGATCTTTGGTCCATTTCAAATTTGGTTTAGTGTATGGTAAAAGATATGGGTGCAATTTTAATCTCAGGCATGCACAGAGCCATTTTTTCCATCACCATTTATTATAGAGGCTGTGTTTCTATCAGTGAATGTTTTTGGCACCTTCATCAAAGATAAGGTAGCTGAGTATGTCTGGAGTTGTTTCTACATCTTTTAAGCTGTCCCATTGATCTTCTGGTCTGGTTTTTTTGTTTTTGTTTTTTTTTTGTTTTTTGTTTTTTGTTTTTTTTTGCCAGTACCACACTGTTTTTATCACAGTACCTTTATAGTATAATTTCAAGTCAGGGATTGTGATGCCCCTTGCCTTGCCTTTGTTGCTTAGAATTAACTGCCTTTATTACTCTCGGTCTCTTCTGGTTCCAAATGTATTTTAGGATTGTTTTCTCTAATTCTGTGAGATATGTTGTTGAAATTTTGATTGGAATTGCATTAAATCTGTATAACAGTTTTGGAAGTATAGCCATTTTCACTATATTGGTTCTTCCTACCCAAGAGCAAGGGATATCTTTCCATTTTCTAATATTCTCTTCAATCTCCTTTTTCAGAGTACTGTAGTTTTAAATGTAGAGGTCTTTTACATCCTTTGTTAGACTGATTCCTAGGCATTTCATTTTTTTCAATGCTACTTTTTTATGTCTTTTTGAGACAGGGTTTCGCTATGTAGTTTGGGCTGGACTTGAGCTTACTTTGTAGCCCTCGAACTTGCAACAGTCCTCCTGCCTTAGCCTCCCAAGTGCTGGGATAATAGGCATGTGCCACCACACCCAGCTTTGGATGCTCTTGTGAAAGGTGTTGTCTCTCTAATTTCTCTCTCAGTTAATTTGTTATTCATGTCCAGGAAGGTTATTATTGATTTTTGAATATTGACTTTGTATTCAGCTGTACTACTGATGACTTTTAGATTTTTTTTTTTTTTTTGTACCAAGAATCAAACTCTGGACCTTGCACTTGCCAGGCAGGCGCTTGTGCCTCTGAGCTATATCCCTGGCCCCCTGACTTTTAGATTTAATAACCAAATTCAGTGGTTATTGGTGTAGCTGGATACAAAGTCAACACTCAAAAATCAATAGCCTTCCCATACAGGAGTAACAAACTCACTGAGAGAGAAATTAGGGAAACAACACCTTTCACAATAGCATCCAAAAAATGCTTATTAAATCTAGCAGTTTTTAGTGAAGTTTTGATACTTCTGTGTAGAGTATCACATCATCTGCAAATAATGATAACTTTACTTTTTTCCTATCATTATTCCATTTTCCCTTGCTTGCTTGCTTGCTGGGGATATAGCTCAATTACACAGGACCTCCCTGGCAAGCACAAGGTCCTGAGTTTGATTCCTAGTACCAAAAAAAAACCTGTCACCAAAAAAGGGATGGGGATGG